TCCTTAACTCTATTTTGAAGCCCAGTAGTGTCGGTCCCACGTCCATCTTGTCCGCTGTGTGGTCCCATATGCGGTTCAGGCATCCTGTTATAACGGCCCTCTTTATTCTCATAGCCGTGTATGATTCAAAATCTTGTAACCCTTGAAAAATAATCGGACCCCCTTTCAACATAATTGGTCCGTTTGTCGTTCTTGCTGCACATGTCACGTGAGGGGGGTACATCCTCATTCTTACTTCGCATCCTAAAAACGGTCATTTGGAAGCAGCTTCGTCAGTCCGAACAAGTGTCAAATCTTTATGGTAGCATTGTTGGAAGCGTCTCATGATTTTCGTAGCTCTAACTAAGCTCCCATTCTTGTCCGTGTGAACGACAATAAATATTGACACGTCATCTACTAATCTGCATCCTTGGATCAGCCTTCGATCATATCCTAGCGATGCCAGAAACTGGCACTCGTAATGCGCACAAAGTAAGCAAGCTATCGCCGGGCTACTGCTCTTTCCCATCGGTATCCCAACTATCTGTCGCAGCACCTTTCCTGCCGCCACAATGAAAGTATGTTGTAGATCATATCGTATAAATCTAACGATGGTCCGCATGCTGATTGTTTGCCATCCGACTTTTCCAACCGCTTTGCCGAACGTGACTCCTTTGCCGTTCTTCTTGACTCTGACGTGGTTTTTCCCGTTGCTTTCGTAGTATTCGGTGACCCATTCTACCGCTGCTAAAATGACGTTGTGAGGAAGCTTCGAAAACATGTCCTTGATATCGAAGCTTCCACCAATCATACCCCGCTTAATTCCTCTTGTCGTCATCTTCGTGTTCGTGTTCGAAACCGTCTCGAGTAACTCTCTTGTACGTTTCAAGTTGAAATTGGAGTTCTTTGGTAAAGTCCACAACATATGATTGACTGCCTTGCCTATCAGCTTGCACATCCTTCCACTCGACTCCCGGAACGATGGGCAGATCGGCCACCACCTCGTGGCATCTTTGTGTTCCGGGATGATGAAGGCCTTGCCTAATTCGCCTCTATCATTCCATTTTGCCACCTTGTTGTAGCCCTCCTTGACATATCTCTCCTTGCTTCGTGCTATGACGTCCTTCTCCTCAATTCTCATGACCTGGAATCCTTGGCTCCGTACAAACATACTGTCCATTGCTTCTCCATAGATCTGTGGACAACGCACAAGCGTGTCGCCTTGGTTGTGATCAATCGGTGCCACGACAAAACCTGGTAGATCGTGGTTGATGTTCATGACTGCCTCGTTTGCAATGCCTTCCGTAAAGTGTTCCGGGCCGTGACATCCTTCCAACTCGTCTCTCTTGAACCCACCATTCGTGCTCCCAAAAAATTCTTCAAACGCGTGGTTCAGTTGTGCCATCAGTGCCCGTCCGCTGTTCCTCCTTGGGACCGGGATATTCTTTGAGTTCTTCAACGGTGTCGGTATGCTCTCTGATTCCGAAAAATGGAACATGACGTGTCCTGCCTCGTTCTTCGGTTTATCAGACTCCGTGCAATTGCACTGGCAATCGTTCACTCCTATTCTCGTCATTCTTCTGTGATTATGGATAATTTGTCCGACCGACCTCGCAGCAATCCATACCACCCTTATCCTTCTGCATACGAATTCAGCCACCGTTGCACTATCACATGTTCGTCTGATCTTCATTTTACAGCACTTGCTGATCTCGTACATTCGCAATGTCTCCTCAAATTTGATTCTCACCACTAATCTTTTTCTAACATTAAACCTGAATCTTAACTTAATCGTTCTGGTGATAATTCCTCTCAGAACTGCTCTGTCCCGCTTGACTTTGAACATCCTCACTCCGTGTATAGTCTCACCAATCTATCCAGTGTGAAACTATCCTGATGTCCGTCGGTATATCGGAATTCTCAGCAGGGCCGTCAGTAGATCAAAACCCTCTCTGCATTCACGAAATACTACTCTTAGCACTTCGCATGTCAATCCTTGAACTCGTCTCAAATTTACCTCCTTCAGCAACATCTTCGCTCCATTGATCCTTATCTCTGAGAAACCGTAACATCGCTTAATCAGTGACCACTTCTCACACCACTTTCTGTCGCTCCCTATTTTTAAACTTCATTTTCCGCCATTGTCTCGGATTTGCTGTAGAATTACGGTCATTGAGAATCGTACCCTATCTTCGAACTGTAGATTCACCGGTGATACCGCTTCTCTGCGTTCTTGTTGATGACGTCCGGCCTTCCATTCCTTCCTGCCTCGTCTTGCCTTCTTCTTGCATTTTCGTGTGGTCCTTCTGCCGTTTAGAGCCGGGCAGAAGCTCCTGATGTAGAATTGTTCCACCGCCTCCAGGTCAGCCCTTTCACATTTCTTCACAGGCATGGCCACATATGTCATCCAACTCTTCTTTCGCCTCCATCGATACACCTTCCTATCTTTCCCGTTCATCGTCGTTTACGTGTTTCTCATATGCTCGTCCCATCGGTCGCCCAACGCTCTGCTTGTCTATCCGATGTACATCGCCTTGTAATATGGCGATACAAGCGCGTACACACATGACTCAGGGTTCCGGAACCAATCACTATCACATGTTTCCCACCCGGACGTGCCATGAAGAAACTTGTTCAGCCACTTAATATTCCCCTGTCTGGCCAGCTTGATTACCAACATCCTTAGCTCGAACTAAATCTCACGTTTTTCCATCTTGCTGCCATTTCGTCTTCTCGGATTGTGGCTTTCCTCATAGAATCGCTTCCAGGTGTGTGACAGGTCTCTCCCCTCGTCGTTAGTCCTGTCTGCTCTCCGTTGGCCCTCGGGTCTTCTGGTTCTTCGATCCCCACCGACCTTGCTATCTCCTCCTTGTCGTAGGTGTTCACAGCGCGTTGCTCCGCCAATGCTTCGACCATGTCTTCTTTGCGCCAACTCACCGGTTTTAGTTTCTCATCCTTGCACATCTTCTCTAACTGTTTAACGTTCTTGTTTCGCAGGTGTCTCTTCGTATCGTCAATGTACCTCAGTCGTCCTTCGGTTTCCGGTCCTGCCACAACCGCCTTTCGTCCAGGCAGTATGCGATCGAACCCAGTGGTTCTTCACTCTCCTGGTCTTGTCTTGGTAATCTGGTCCTGGTCCCTACCCGCCTCGCGGGTTCTGTCTATGCAAATAGTTGGTCGAGTCCTTTGGCTGCCGTGGCTGGTGTATGTGGTGCCTTCTTCGATGATGAGGGAGTGTTTGCTCCTGTGGTTGTATTCTTCAGTCAGTTGATTTCCTCCCTCATGACTTCGATCTGTTCTTGGTGTTGTCCTCTCATTGCCGCCATTTCCTCCTTCAGTTGTTGCTCCACAGTCAATTGTGGCTCCATTCGCTGTCTTGCGGTTGGTCTCTCATCCTTCTCCTCGTCTATGGCGTCCTTTCCTCTATTTCTTCTGATGTGTTCCATTTCAGCCTCGCGCAGCAGCAGCACGTCTCTCCCTATGTCTTCAACTATTACCGGATTGTTGGCGTTGCCTGCCTTTATCTCGTCGACTACTTGTTTGATCAGTTTGGCCAGTTGCTCCACTATCACTTGGCACCCTTTGTCCTTCGAGTCCATCTTGCTGAAGCTGTTGTCAATTAGCAGAGGGAATCTCGCCTCTCGTTCTTCCGCCTTCTTTTCCTCCTCTTAGTTTCTTCCTCATCTCTTCTTCTTCGGTCGTCTTCTTCTCTTCTTCGCTCCTGTTCCATCCTCTTTTCTTCCATGACCGTTGCACATAACTCCTTCATCATGAGTACGACATCAGCGATGTCTTTATTGGAGGTCAGGCTCGAAGTATGGGAGTCATACCCATTATTCTTGTAGTTGTTGTAGCCACGATAGCCTCCATAGTTCTGCACCGCGCCTGGTCCTTTCACAGGAACAATCTGTCGCTCCGTGTTGGTGTTGTGTGATGCCGAGGCCGCGATTTGGCCGCTTGATTCGCCACGCTGCTGATATCGTCTTGGTTTGATGCAGCCCCTCGATAGATGCCCTGGTTCTCCACAGTTATAGCATTTTGGAATCTCCTGCTCGCCGTTGTCTGCAATATTGCGTACACACCTTGCAAACAGTTGCAATCTCCCCCTAGGTTAGCACGTTCATCGTGAGCTGAAGAACAGTCAAAGTGACCGTACAGTCAAGTGACCGTGGGGTCAAATCGTGCTCGTGCTCCCGTGTCGACAGTGAGATCGAGCCAATTCACATACACATGAGATGAGACTCACAGCATTCCCTCGTAGTTCATGGATCTCCCTTACATCCCCATTCCCGTTCATTCATCATTCCACACACTCATGTCACTGAGAAAAGTCAGAGAGATAAAAAAACCCTNGTAGTTCATGGATCTCCCTTACATCCCCATTCCCGTTCATTCATCATTCCACACACTCATGTCACTGAGAAAAGTCAGAGAGATAAAAAAACCCTTTCGTGTATTGAACAGAAAGCTGCTATGGCAGATGTACATGAAGCTCAAAAACAGACGGTCCGAACTAGTGATACTCCGTGAAGTCTAAGGAATGTGATGAGAGCAACAACGTCCCACGTCTCTCATCCTGGCGCTTGCCCGACTAGTTTCTGTTGTCGCCAGAACAGCGTCGTCAGGGGCAGTCGAAAGGTAATTCTGCTCACTACTTCTCAGCTATAAATACTACTGCTACCTTTTGAAAAAAGTCCTCCTTTTCTTGTAACCCGTACTACTGTGCTTCGTCACTCCTCCCGCCCAGGCTCAGCCCTGAGCCCGCCAAATTCTCAGTTCCCAAAGTCCGAAAAGAAAAATAAAAATAAAAATAAAATAGGCCCTACCACTTTCGAAAAGGGTTAGCTCGTATCATGCCCCATGTCGTAGCTCCCGCTCATTTCTGCTAAAAAAAAACGAAAAAGGAAAAGCGGACCTACTACTTTTCAAAAAGCTAGTTCATATCGCGCCGCGTGTCTATGCTCTCGCTCCTTCAAATTTGAACCGGTTGCCAGTCCCGCGTGTTCAAAAAAACGAGACCCAGTGCTCCAAACATTTACACTATTATTCCTGGAAAAAATAAACTCGAAAAATAATAAATCCRTTCGTATTATGACGCGTGTTGTTGTTCCCGCTCATTCCTCCCAGCCACATAGCGTGTTCGTCCATTCTCCCCATGCCCCGTCCTTCTTTTCAGAGAAATTCWTGAGTTGCGTGTCAAAGAACCTGGCCGGGAAGTTCCTCATCCTTAACTCTATTTTGAAGCCCAGTAGTGTCGGTCCCACGTCCATCTTGTCCGCTGTGTGGTCCCATATGCGGTTCAGGCATCCTGTTATAACGNTCCTTAACTCTATTTTGAAGCCCAGTAGTGTCGGTCCCACGTCCATCTTGTCCGCTGTGTGGTCCCATATGCGGTTCAGGCATCCTGTTATAACGACCCTCTTTATTCTCATAGCCGTGTATGATTCAAAATCTTGTAACCCTTGGAAAATAATCGGACCCCCTTTCAACGAAATATTCGTACTGTATCTAGAGCACGAAAAGCTCTACATCCCCATATATATATATATATGTATATTTACGTTTGTTTTGGGGGGGGTTTCGTCACTTTGTACGGGACCGGCGTATGGCCGTACGACAGAACCGGGGGGCAACACAGTTTGTGTGTGTGTGTGTGTGTGTGTGTGTGTGTGTGTGTGTGTGTGTGTGTGTGAGAGAGAGAGAGAGAGAGAGAGAGAGAGAGAGAGAGA